TCTTGGGAGCCGAGGCGGGCGGAGTCTCAAGGTCAGAGTTCAAAACCAGCCCTGAGCGAGACCCCGTCTCTACTGATACAATAGAAAGAAATAATTGGCAACTGATATATATATAAAAAAAAATTGCCGGCATGGTGGCCATGCCGTGTAGTCCCAGCTACGTGAGAGGCTGAGCAGGTAAGGGATCACTGAGCCCAGGAGTTGAGGTTGCTGTGAGCTAGGCTGACGGCCACGGCACTTCACTTCTAGCCTGGGCAACAACACGCGAGGCTCTAGTCTCAAAAAAAAAAAAAAAAAAAAAAAAAATAGTACCAGGAAATGCTAAAAGAGAATCTAAGCATTTCTCACTTACTCTCCCCTTTTAGTTGATATAAATTTTAAAAAGGAAGTATAACTGAATGAGGCTTTAATTCCTATCTCTATCCTAACACATTTTTCTAGCAGATACACTAAGAAAATGTAGAAAAGTGCTAAAGTAATTATAATTGAGGTTGACTCTCTTTCTTAAAAACTATTTATTGGCCAGGCACAGTGGCTGATGCCTGTAATGCTAACACTTTGTGAGGCCCAAGGTGGGAGGATTTGCTTGAGGTTAGGAGTTTTAAACCTGCTCTCTAACAAAAAAATTTTAAAAAATTAGCTGGAAGCGGGCAGTGGCTCACACTGTAATCCTTAGCTCTCCGGGAGGTCTGAGGTGGGTGGATAGCTCGAGGTCAGGAGTTCAATACTAGCCTGAGCAAGAGCAAGACCCTGTCTCTCCTAAAAATAGAAAGAAATTAATTGGCCAACTAATATATATAGAAAAAATTAGCCGGGCATGGTGGCACATGCCTGTAGTCCCAGCTACTCAGGAGGCTGAGGCAGAAGGATTGCTTGAGCCCAGGAGTTTGAGGTTGCTGTGAGCTAGGCTGATGCCACGGCACTCACTCTAGCCAGGGCAACAGAGCAAGGCTCTGTCTCAAAAAAAGGAAAAAAAAACAAAATTAGCTGGAAATAGTGGCATGCACCTATAGTCACAGCTACTCAGGAGGCTGAGGTGGGAAGATCACTTGAGCCCAGGAGTTTGAGGTTGCAGTGAGCTATGACGACACCACTGCACTCTAGTCAAGGCTACAGAGTGATAACCTGTCTCTCAAAAAACAAAAAAAAGTATTTGCAAGGCTATAATTATCCATAAAAATCAAAACTATATGCATTGGCTCAAAAAGAAACAGCAATGCTAGAACACTGATTGTGTTTTCTAAACACCATTTTCCCACTAAAAGAAATCAGGGGGCTAGGCGTGGTGGCTCATGCCTGTAATCCTAACACTCTGGGAGGCCGAGGCAGGTGGATTGCTCGAGGTCAGGAGTTCGAAACCAGCCTGAGCAAGAGCGCTCGGGGACTAGTCCCAGCTATTCCAGCTGTAGTCCCAGCTATTCAGGCTGAGGCAGTAGGATTGCTTGAGCCCAGGAGTTTGAGGTTGCTGTGAGCTAGGCTGACGCCATGGCACTCACTCTAGCTTGGGCAACAAAGCGAGACTCTGTCTAAAAAAAAAAAAAGAAATCAGGGCTCCTTGGAAAAATGGCTGAGTGCCTTCCCTATAGGAACTAAATAGTTGGTAAAGGAATATTTCTCTCTCTTTTTTAAATTTCAGCATATTATGGGGGTACAAATGTTAAGGTTATATATATTGCCCATGCCCCCGCCCCCCTTTTTTATTTCAGCATATTATGGGGGTATAAATGTTAAGGTTACACATATTGCCCTTGCCTCCCCTCCCCTCTGAGTCAGAGTATCAAGCGTGTCCATGCCCCAAGTGGTACACATCACACTCATTATGTATGTATATGCCCATCCCCTCCCTCCCATCTGACACTCGATAAATGGTTTTTTTTGGTTGTTTTTTTTGAGACAGAGTCTCCTTTTGTTGCCCAGGCTAGAGTGAGTGCCATGGCGACAGCCTAGCTCACAGCAACCTCAAGCTCCTGGGCTCAAGTGATCCTGCTGCCTCAGCCTCCCGAGTAGCTGGGACTACAGGCATGCGCCACCATGCCTGGCTAATTTTTTCTATCTATATTAGTTGGCCAATTAATTTCCTTCTATTTATAGTAGAGACGGGTCTCACTCTTGCTCAGGCTGGTTTTGAACTCCTGACCTTGAGCAATCACCCCTCGCCTCCCAGAGTGCTAGGATTACAGCCAACGTGCCCGGCCCCTCGATAAAGGTTTTGTTTGTTTGTTTTAAACATTTGGTTACATTTTATCATCTTTGCCTCTCCCTAGGAAGGTTAGAGTTATGCCCTTCCCCATCCACAATGCTCCCCCACCACATCCCCCTAAGATGTGGGTCTACCCCCCACCGACCGAATTCCTGGTGAACATCTACCAACCATTTGAGCACCATAGTTGTTAATCAGTCAGAATATTTCTCTTTATAGGAAGTGTTTATATATAAATGAGGAATAATGAAGCAGAAAGATTATTACAAGGTTGAGTATCTCTTATCTGAAATGGCCTTGAGCCCAGAGTTTTCTGGAAGTTTGGACTTTTTCACAGTTGGAATATTTGGATATACATAATGAGAACTCTGAGATGTGGAATCCAAATTAAACACAAAATTCATTTTACATTCATACTGACAACTCCATAGCACATAACCTGAAGTTAATTTTATTGTAGATACTTTTAAATAAATTTGTGCCATGAAACAAACTATATGTATCACTGAACCATCATACAAGCAAGATGTCACTCTCTCAAGCATACTCATGTGGACATTTGTGATCGTTTGGCATCACCATAATCCTGACTCACAGTACATTCCCTGCCAACCCCCAACTAGGATAACCCATGTGTGCCCCAGGAAGACCACTTGTGTGAACCAGGATGCCAATGGCCTTGACATCTCCCCTCTGAAGATAGAGATCCACTTGACTGGTCCTGGGGATGAGTGACTGTGACCAGAAAAGCTCCTCCCAACCAATTAGCTGATGATGCAGTCTGGCTCCATCCAGACTGTCAATCTCTTCTGTCATCTGCATTTTTTCAAAACAATCAATGCCAGCTGGTTCCTCTCGGAAGAGAAGCTATCTACCCCTGGAAGCTGTGTGCCTTCTCAACACTCCTACTAAACCCCAGCTGGGAATAGTCACTGGAAAAACAAGCCTCACTGAAGTGGGCGTGCAGGCTGCGAAAGTGTGTCTGACATGTTTGGATTTTTGTTTGCAGTCAAGGGCATACACAGGGCTGGATTTGTCCCCGACCAACCTGCCCTTCCAGTACATTAAAAACGCAGGAATCTTGGTCCGCCTGAGCTGAAGAAGAAATGTTCTGCGCTGAGCACACAGCATGCGACACTCGTAACCCTCATCGCGTAGAGAGGTTAACAATGTCTGCAGAGTTGAGGATCACCACTCTGCCCTATTAAAGAAAAATTCATGCTATCTCTCCTCTCTTTTTCCCACCTCAGCCTCCCGGAGAGCTAGGATTACAGGTGTGAGCCACTGCGCCCGGCTTCCAGCTAATTTTTTAAATTTTTTTGTAGAGAGCAGGTTTAAAACTCCTAACCTCAAGCAATCCTCCCACCTTGGCCTCACAAAGTGTTAGCATTACAGGCATCAGCCACTGTGCCTGGCCAATAAATAGTTTTTAAGAAAGAGAGTCAACCTCAATTATAATTACTTTTAGCACTTTTCTACATTTTCTTAGTGTATCTGCTAGAAAATGTGTTAGGATAGAGATAGGAATTAAAGCCTCATTCAGTTACTTCCTTTTAATTTATC